ATAAAATCATATGTTACACTTTATAAACGTAGTAATCAATATTATAAAATCATATGTTACACTTTATAAACGTAGTAATCAATATTATAAAATCATATCATGTTACACTTTATAAAGGAAGTAATCAATATTATAAAACGTATGTGTTACAATATATAAATGTAGTAATCAATATTATAAAAATGATATCATGTTACACTTTATAAAAGTAGAAATCAATACAAAACATTATGTCATATCTATCAAGTAGTAATCAATCTGGAGAATATTTGACTTTTGCTAGTTTTATGGTTCAGTTGTTTATTATAAACTTAATCACTATACTAATAACACTTTTATTTTACTGACACACAGTCGTTATTAGAAAGGCACTCTATTACAGTAGCACTGTTGTTTCATGTAAGCAGTGTTTACACAGAAAGACGTTACACATGGAGATGTTTTAATGTTCATACCCTTTATACTTGGTTTGTTAACCAAAATAACATAATTAAAATACAAACCAGCAAATGTTTGTTAATCACTTTTCAGTAACTGCTAATGCTGTGTTATGTACTATTTTACCAATAAAATAACTGCTAATGCTGTGTTATGTACTATTTTAACAATAAAATAACTGCTAATGCTGTGGTATGTTCTATTTTAACAATAAAATAACTGCTAATGCTGTGGTATTTTAACAATAAAATAACTGCTAATGCTGTGGTATTTTAACAATAAAATAACTGCTAATGCTGTGGTATTTTAACAATAAAATAACTGCTAATGCTGTGGTATTTTAACAATAAAATAACTGCTAATGCTGTGGTATTTTAACAATAAAATAACTGCTAATGCTGTGGTATTTTAACATTTTAACAAACAGAAATTGCTTAAGTGATCAAGAATACGGGAACCATAACAACGCTAAACTTGTCAGAAAATATAAGCTGTGCCACGAGTTATAAAAGTGGTTTCGGTAATCGATGACAGCTATTTCAAGTTACATGTTTGTTCTACGTTCATTACTATACATAAGAAAAATGAAAGTCGCTGATTAAAGTTGTCAAAGAAAGAAAGGAAGTCATTTTTAGCACGTCAGAAACAATTAAAAAAAATATGAAATAATATTAAAAATAATAAAACCAGCAAGATGATAACACGTCATGTAAATGGTAAAACAATAGTTTTTCTTGCCTCATCATGATAATCGAAACAGACAAATGAGGTTGTCTGTCACAGTGATGTCAAACTATAAATATATATTATCTTTCTTTACCAATCCATCGGTCTTTCTACATGTATATAAATTTTCATTAATATCTTTATAGTATCTTTCAAGAAGTATTAAAATTCTAGGTCAGTGAATGTTTTTTTTTTTTCAAAAACGATTGACCTCAAGACGAAATTACTATAAAAGTTAACTCTCGCAATTTATGAGATATTTACTTGAGAGAATATGCATAATCAAGCTTTCTACCATACACACAAACTGACACAATGGAGTTGATCTCTATAAGATGGTAGAAGTAATGACGTCAATGTTAATTGTTCAATATAAATACTTAATCCAATTGTCAAATCTGATTAAATACGGTTGAGTTTTTTCTTGAAATAAAAAATGTTTTTTAAAGAACCGAATGTAAAAGAAATAGTTTGTTTGTTTTTTTGCTTAGTTTACTACTTGAATACACAATTATAGAAAAATATACATTTAAGGCTAATTGGATGTTACAAATAATGTGATATTTTGTTTTTAATTGAATTTTAGCGCAAATCAGGCAGTGGGCTGTCTACTGACTCATCTCATCGGTGGACTGCTAAAAAATTCAAAGAATAAAAGTTTTGCATAATGAAAACCTTAAGATTATCCGAATCATAATAACATAATTTAACTTATAAAATTACGATAAAACCAAACATAAATAGTAAAGTGTCCTGTAAAATTAGAAATTATTCTGAAGCCTTAACCCGTCAACAGAGTCGGGTGTTGGAATCACTACCGGTCTAGGTTTTTATTTCTTAAGGAAAACAACACATGCACCTATATATCTATAAAGGAGATAAACTACAACTTTTGTTGCAAATTCAGGTTTTCTTCCCTTTTCGTAATTTCATACTTTTCAGTAATAGACTTTACTCGGCCCGGCATGGCCAGGTGGTTAGGGCTCTCGACTCGCAATCTGAGGGTCGTGGTTCGAATCCCCATCACACCAAACATGCTCGCCTTTTCAGCCGTGGGGGCGTTATAATGTGACGGTCCATCCCACTATT